TGATCTGAAAACAGGCAGCTTTCGAAAACGATCATCTCACACAGATGATGAGACCCGTTCGCCGGGGAGTATACAGCATCTGGTTTATGGGTGTCCAGTTGTGGGTCCACGCGAAGGTCGTAGTAAGTCGTTCACTTGCCTGCAGGTGTAAACGGCGCCTAGCGTCCATTTACTGGTGCCTGACTCTCACATGTGGCTCCCCGGAGCAAGGCTTTGCATAGCGGCCACACCCCAGTAATCGCCTCGATCGGCGAGCTAAACCAGGTAAGAGCACCCGTACGTGCATCGCAGCACATAGTAACTCAGCTCCGCTGGCCGGATGGATCACCGCCCCGGAATCTCCGTGACGAAACTCAATCTGCAGCACCGCAGGAGGCCGCAAGATAAGTGAGGCCCCAAGTAAGCGAATATTGCTCTGCCGTCTTTACTTTGCTTGCTCTTGTTGGCTTGATTTCTGTCTGCTCGTTTGTGTTTGTCCTTGTTGTAAGCTAAATCTCGTTCCGTTAAATTTCCTCCGTCTGCCTTTTCTTCTGATTGTTCTTCCTTGCCTGCCCTTTGTCTGTTTGTTTGTGCTTGTCCTTGTTGCAAGTTAAATGCCGCTCTGTTGAATTTGTTTGCTCACCGTTTATATTTCTGCAACCAGTGTGCTTACAGGGGAACGGGAAAGCTCTGCTTCCCGTCTCTCTACCCTTCCCCCATTCCCCCTCCTTTTCCTTCAAGTCCTACGACGATGTAGGCGGACCCAGGCTAACTGGGGTCGTTCTCCCACTACGCAAAAGCCGTGGCCCATAGTGGAGTTTGACAGCCGTCTGGGACAACTGAGCAGCCCTATTTAGGGAGAGCACCGCTCACCCTCGTGAGGACGAAGGGGCTGCAGAAGGTGACCTAGACAAATTCTGGTGACCCATGGCGCCTGCAGGCTGACCGTGGCCTCAGACGCAAAAGTCACGGTCGAGGCAACCAAATCTCTTCCCCCTCCCCGCCGCCCCACTCGCCAATCTGGTAGGGTGAATCTGTTCACTTTGGCAGCCTGGAATGTTCGTTCCCTTTTAGACAATTCGGGGAGGTGTCCCCCAAATGGGCCACGTGGTAGATGCGTTGGCCAACACGGGGGCGGTATTGGATTCTGGCAGGCGTTATCGGCTTTGTGCACCGTAAAAATTGCCAACATTTCGGAGTGCGGTGGCGGATCCGGCTGCCGGCGCACGTCGCGCACACTGAAACTCTGCCACCCACCCCCATTATTGCGTTAATCAAAAACCTGGTTATTTGCTGTGCAGACCAGGGGTGTGGAGTGGAACGTCAAGGTGCGGGCTCGACCGTGCCATCCACCTGCGCCCTCCCTCGCCTCCGGTCTTCTTGACTCTGTCTTGACACCGGGTCCAGGTGGGGGAGGAGAGATTGCGGTGGATGCTGTGCAAGTCTACTATCACTATAAACTAATTCACGCGCAAATCACCGTCCCTGCTCTTGCCTTGTGAAGCGCACGGTGGACATCGTCGGCAACGACGATCGAACTATCATACGGTGTCTGATGCTTGTATCGCATTGCCAAGTTCGTCCCTAAGATCCCATACCTAGAGGACGGCTATTCAGTCAGACAGGAAGTGAATTCATCAACTGAGCATTTAAATGCCCATTGTAAAATTCAAAAGGCAATTTGGCGAGCATACGTTTGCTTTCAATAAATTCTCTTCAGGCCTGTACATTTATATGGCTATTGAAGTAATGAATGCAAAAGATACGGGCAAATAGATAATTAATCTGTAGCTTGGGTTTGGAGAGGGGAGGGGGAGGATGAAACACCATAATTCCAGTCGGCGCCAGGGAGAAGGTGGGTCCCGGCGAAGGTAATTACATGCGGGTGGCTGGCTTGGTGGCTTTGACCCATGGTAACTGTGGGGCCTGCACGAAATTCTTCTGCGCGCATAGGACCGGTCGGCGTAGCCTAATTGCAGCCGCCTCTGCCGTAGCCAACAAGCGCTGCCCAAGCAGTTTTGGATAGCTTGATGGGACCTTGTAGATCACTCTGAAGGCCTCTGTGGCGTCTACACGGTGGCCTGTGTCTACCATGTGCGCGAGGATCGAGCTGTTGATGTCCTTTACTTGTCCCTTTCCTAACCATGCTGGGAGATGTTCTTTCATTCTTTTGGATAAACGCCGGCTCGTGCGACCAATATATTCTGCCCCACAGGAGCAGGTGAAGGAGTAGATGCACATAGAGGTGGTCTGAGCTGGTAGTTTGTCCTTGCCCTCTCCGTATAGGATGGGACTGGTGGAGAACAATACACGGGTGTCAGCTGCTGGAAAGGTCTGTGATACAGCTTGGGTTAGGCGTCTTCTCAGAAGTTCACTTGGTGCATCCCCTTGAAATGGGACCCTGATAAAGAGCCTTTTCTTTCGCGCCGTCAGCATCGGGGGCTTTTGCGGTCTTTCGGCCATGTTCTTAGCGATGAATCGGTCAGGATACCCGTTTTGGCGAAATAGGCTTTCGATGATCTTTCTCAACGCTATCAGCTGAGCAGATTCTTCTCACTCTTTCTGTCAAACAGCGGACTAAATTACGTTTCACGTTTAGCGGTACGAAACTCCCAAAATGGGTGTATTGTCCGGACCACGTTTTCTTACGAATAAACGCTACGTCGAATGCTGCAGTCAGGTCTTCTACTCAGAAGCACAAGTAGAAAGGGAAGTGAACCGGACTGTTCTTCTTCCAGAGTGAATTTTATTGATGGGTGCGCCTGATTTATGTCATCCAGTAGAATTGAGATGTCGCATAGTTTCGGTGCAATCGCGAATATATCATCCACGTATCGCCCATAGTATCTTAGACCGTTGATCTGGTGACGTAGCTGGAAAGCTTCTAAGTTTCCCATGAATATATTCGCCAAAAGCGGGCCAAGGGGCGAGCCCATTGCTACGCCGTCCATCTGCCTATATAGATTGTTGTCGAATAGGAACTGCACGTTCAAGGTACACCTCAATAACAATTCCTTGAGGGCATTTACTGGCATTCCTAAATCCTGTTGATTGTCGGCAATGAAATCACAAAGGTAGTTGACCGTTTCCGTTACCGGTACGTTCGTAAAAAGGGATGAGACATCTAACGAAAACATAACCATTTCGTTCAGATCGAAGTCTTTCACGCCGTTAATGAATTCAAAAGTGCCTCGATAGCTATGTGGTACTAGTTGATACTGCAGAGGCCTAAGTTTCTCCGCCAGCCATTTCGCTATTGCATGGTACGGCGAGTTTCTCATATCGAGGATTGGGCGAACCGGTACGCCATCTTTGTGGATCTTCGGCAAACCATATAGTCGAGGTATATGCGTACCGACGGGTCCGAGGCGCTCTACGTCGTGTTCGCTTATGCAACCATCCGCCTGAAGTCTTTTCAAGCAGTCAGTCAGTCACTCCTTCACCTTTCCAGCAGCTGACACCCGTGTATTGTTCTCCACCAGTCCCATCCTATACGGAGAGGGCAAGGACAAACTACCAGCTCAGACCACCTCTATGTGCATCTACTCCTTCACCTGCTCCTGTGGGGCAGAATATATTGGTCGCACGAGCCGGCGTCCAAACCCAAAGCTACAGATTAATTATCTATTTGCCCGTATCTTTTGCATTCATTACTTCAATAGCCATATAAATGTACAGGCCTGAAGAGAATTTATTGAAAGCAAACGTATGCTCGCCAAATTGCCTTTTGAATTTAAATACCCATCAATGGCTCGAGCTACGCCGACCTGGAGGAGAGGGTTCGGGATTATCTTGACAGAACGTTGGCGTGACTGATTACGACGACGGAATGACCAATTGAGTACGTATGAAAGTTGGCCCCGAGTGTATCTAAGACCCCGCGTTATCAGTTTCTGGCGTGCTAACTTGTTTGGCTTCGCGTTAGTCTGCTGCCTGAGAAGTAAAACGGAAGGCAATCGTTAGTGACGTGGTGAACCTAGAACATGCAATCACTTGAGCTGCTAATGAGGGTTTTCACAAGCACATGTAGTAGGTAATTCGCGTCCGTGATCCCCTACCTTGGCAACACTGAAGCCTGAACTCGTGGTCAGCTTGAGCTACATACGTAGCCACCTGCGGACCCCTGGTCAGGCCTAGTGTTCGAGCATCATTGTAGTTTTCACTCAGATGGGTCGACAGACGTATGTACCTTCCTATAGCCTTGGTCGATATGACGCACGGCTTATTTCCATTGCGAATGCGGTCTCTAAGGGGCGCCCAGGATGGCAAAGTTGAGAGTCAATGCCGTTTTCAATACTAATGCGAATGGCGTGAGAAACCAACACGAGACCTGAGGCGAATTTCGCATACGTAGTGCCCTGCCTTCGGCTAAACCAGTTAGATTCTGAACATTTGTCGCGGACGGGTTCATCACCCTGACAGGCGTGTCTACTTCTTGACAGTTGCAAGCACGATTCAGAGTAGGAACTCCGGCTGACTCAGACGGCAGGCCCCTCCCCCAACTACAGTAAACCCTCGATGCCTGCGCGCCTACGCGTGCAAGTGCACTTTACGCGGCCAAACAGGCACTTCCACTCTCCTCGTTCAGGTGCATTCCTGCAGTTTATGTACCCAGGTATGTGGCAGTCTATCCGAACCCGGATGTCCGCCCGTGAGACGGTGCGTGCGTGTGCGTGCAGAATTGAGGCCGCTCGCATCGGTCTGCGATCGCAGCAACTTTCGAGCCACTGTAGCTGGCAACTTGACAACAAAATATTATGTGCATCAAAAGGCAAAGAAAGACTTTAGCACTCAAAATGGGTAAATACGAGAATAAGTTCGGCGAAAGTCGGACGGATAGGAACCAAGCCCACAAAACCATGCGTTTTGCAGACTAGCAGCCGGAAAACACTGTTCCTTACGTACGAATTTCAGTCGCTGAACTTTCCTAAACTACGATGCTAAAATATTGTTTTCCTGACGCTCTAACTGGGACAATTCTCCTCCGAATTTTAAGGCTAAAGTCTTCCGTAAATTTACGGAAGATTGATGTGTACCTACTGATCTATGGCCTAGCAGTCCCACTGCCACAACACCCTACTGTGACGACATACGGAGACTGAGTAATAAGTGCCTCAATGATCGGCACACAGACGTCACACATCAAAAATAAAAAGAATCCTTTCCAATTAGGATACTAGTATAATAACGATCGAGATAACAAAGAGGTACGGAAGTGGGAGAGAAACGGGTAGGACAATAAGTCCTAACAATAAGATAACAAGGAAGGACGCAGCCGGCTGCGGAAACGAGGTGAAAAGTTAAACGAATGGATTGCTATCTGGGCCGTGTTGGTTTTAACGTTGGTCGTGGGCTCCTAACTTGGCCCTGAAAGAGGAAATAAAAGTATTGGATAATAAAAAATTACCGTTAAGCGCGTAGGTTCGTAACACTACTGTGACAACCATACTCAACGGCACTTTTTTTCATCCAGTACTTTTATTTGCTTTTTTAGGACCACGTTCGAAGCCCACGAACAACCTTAACAACCAACAGGGCCCCGATAACAATCCATTCGTCTAATGTTTCCCCTCATTTCCGATCCCGCGTATCGATGACAATATGGACGCACCAGCCGGCGCGTCTTGGTTCGCCAGCCTCGATCTCTCTCATAGTTACTGGCAAATAGAGGTCCGACCGCAGGGCCGTCACGAGACAGCGTTCATCCTCCCCACCGGGCTCTACCAGTTTAACACTACACATGGGTCTCGCGAATGCCACAGCCACTTGCCGAAGGTTAATGCAGCTCGTCCTGCTTCGTCTACTTGAATGACATTATTCACGGCAAGTCCGTCAGTCGCTTACTCGAAAACTTGGATAAAGCGGCGGATAAGACGAAATGCAACGAATAATTATAGCAAGGGTAAAAATACGGGGTCGTTGTGCGTGTTGAGGTGGATGCACGTCCGGAGACCTCCTTGAAGGGGAACTTCTGCCCGGCCGGAGTCGTTAACGGGTACATGTTCCCGACTTTGGTCCGCCAGTACTCCAGGTTGGACCCGTTCCGCTCGAAGTGCTCCCCGCCTTCTTCACGCTCTCGTTCCAGAACATCCCCCGTTTCCGCTGGCGGATCATTAAGTCGTTGTTCAGGACGAGCTGGACGGCCCACTAGTTGGACAGGAACGCGGGCATGGTAACGCGCACCCGGGAGTAGGCGGCGACGGTGGGGACGCAGGGGATGTGGACAACGTGGCCCAGTTCTTCCAGCACTACACCGTCCAGTGCACCTACAAGGAGGGCCCCGAAACCATCGCCGTCATCCATATTCCCTCCTGCGTCCCCATCGTCGCCGCCTACTCCTGGGTGCGCGTTACCATGCCCGCTGACTGGACGACCAACAAGTTCCTGTCCAACCAGTGGGCCGCCCAGCTCGCCCTAAACAGCGACTTAATGGTCCGCCAGCGGAACTGGGAGATGTTCTGGAACGAGAGCGTGAGGAAGGGCGGGGAGCACTTCGAGCAGAACGGGTTCAACCTGGAGTACTGGCGGACCAAAGCCGGGGACATGTACCCGTTAATGACTTCGGCCGGGCAGAAGTTCCCCTCCAAGGAGGGCTCCGGGACGTACGACGAGGACGACTTGAACGCCTGGTTGAACTCCTTTCAGACCCCGCAGGTCGCCGCCCCTGCCCAGCCCCACCACGCCGCCGAGCAGGCCAACTTCAGGTGCCACTCCGTCATGGCCGGGAACAGGTCCAGCATGGATCAGGTGGAGATCAGCAGCATCCTATGGTCGGTCCTCTTTAAGTTCATCCACCTTAACACGCACAATGACCCCGTATTTTTACCCTTGCTATAATAATTCGTTTTATTTTTGCATTTCTTCTTATCTGCCGTTTTATTTAAGTTTTCGAGTAAGTGACTGACGGACTTGCCGGGGATAATAATGTCTTTCAAGTAGGCGAGGCAGGACTGGAGTAATAGGTGTCGAAGGGCGACCCGCACCAACCTTTGGCAAGTGGCTGTGGCATTCGCGAGACCCATGGGTAGTGTTAAACTGGTAGAGCCCGGTGGGGAGGATGAACGCTGTCTCGTGACGGCCCTGCGGTCGGACCTCTATTTGCCAGTAACTATGAGAGAGATCGAGGCTGGCGAAACAAGACGCGCCGGCTGGTGCGTCCATATTGTCATCGATACGCGGGATCGGAAACGAGGGGAAATATTAGACGAATGGATTGTTATCGGGGCCCTGTTGGTTGTTAAGGTTGTTCGTGGGCTTCGAACGTGGTCCTAAAAAAGGAAATAAAAGTACTGGATGATAAATTTTTTTATCATTTTAACAATGAGCACTGTAACGGTCCACTGCCGACAACGGGTGGGTTGTCTACACAATATGGATCGATTCAGAAACAGAGATGTCTTATAGGTACAACTCCAACGGAGGGATCAGTCGCAATCGACGGTAGGTTAATTTGAATTCGGAACATAGTACGTTAGCCGGCTGGAGATGCAGGATTGGTTTATGTTGAATATGAAAATGTGGAAGATTACTTTGATTATCCTTTTAACTCATCAAACATTAAAATTCTTAAAGCAAGGATGGGGACCGTACTAAACACATGCCCATTGCCGCCATCCTTACGGAAGTATGCCTGCTTCCCCTTGGAGGATCACTTTGTTCTGATTGAAATCAATGACCGTTGGGACTCTGATGACTGGACATTTTCGGATGTTCGATGACTGAGTTGGACGGAACCATTTCTTCTTATTCACGCAAGTTGCTCCTGTTCTCACTGTACTTCTCACCGTAACTCGGTCACTACCCACGAAACCTACGACCCAACAGTCCCTCAACTATTGTTTCGTGGGCAGTGAAGGGAGGCAGTGATTAGCTACATATTCTTATCCTACCCACACACTACTTTTCCTGTTGGGTTGTAGAGTATCATGTCCTCAGAGGAAGAAAGCCCAAAAAAGAAGAGACCAAGGCGGTCAGCTAAGAACCCCTACGATGATGACATGTGGGACAATGAATTGAACCTATCGACGACATCAGTAGGATTGTTAATTACATTATTTTCCGCTGTCTACAGCACTCCCAATCAGAAAACACAGAATCCAGCTCAACTTTGCCATTGGTGGCGTCACCAAAATCCAAAGGTATTTACCTTTCATTCTAATATGCCGTTCGTAGGGCATTAAGAGGAGTACGACCGGGCGCAAAAGGAGACACCTGTCCTCCCACGAAATGTTGGGGAAATTTAGAGCCGTTCTACGGTGGTTGATAGAGAATTGTAAAGAAAATACTAGACGGCTAGAGCGGATTGAGCTGAAGTTGGATGCTCAAGCAGAAGGACGAGCGAGTGCAACCATTTCGTTATCCACTTTAACGTCTGTGGCTCCACCTTTCGGACGAATGGCTTGCATAAGCGACTTAGAAAGATTTACGAGTAAATTGTCAGACGCAGATTTTCGGCAGCAGATGGTAAGTTTCTTATGACCTACTGATTTCTCGGATAGGTTAGCCACTTAGGTAGTTTTGGAGGGCGGACCTTGGGCGCATTCGTCGACCGAGTTTTCAGCGCCCTTTTTGAGGATGAAATAACACACCAATTGACGTTTTACGGTCGACAACATGGAAAGAGCGCATTCTTCGGCTCCCCAGCCTACTCAGTCGTCCTAGGTATTAAAACATAATTTTCCCAATTAACAACCGGCTACATAGATGTCTTTAATAGGTGGAATGCCGATCACAGTTCAGATCGGCATGATTTAGAGAAATGCTTTCGACTCATGTTCGGAGGGGCCTATGATCGGCTACAAAAGAGGACCAGTAAACTATCCACGTCACGCCCACTGGACGGTTAGCTACCCCTTCATAATCAGACCTCATGCATCTATTATTTACATTACCCAAATTAACTTGAGTGCACTTTTTTAGACACTGCCGAGGATGACGAAGATACTCCTCGTCCGGGACCGTCTAGCTCTTCCTCACAGCCTTAGAACGGTCTGTTATGACCGATTTATCCAAGACATTAATAATTTTTTACATAATATCTATTTTGTACCAGATTTCGAACACTTTAAACTATATATCTGTTTCGTACATATTATTTTTTTACAAAAAATTTTTGATAACCAACAACCACATTACCCGTCTTCATTCACACAACTTACGGGATAGTAGATTAGCATTATGGGCATGAAAATAGGGGAAACAGCTTAGGAGTGGGACTTTTGAGAAAATGAGGGGGGGGGGAGGTTCTGCACGGTTACGACGCGAGATTAGAAATTTCCGGCGCAGATTCTGTGCCGAGCCTATGTGCCGAATCTGTGCCGATTCTGTGCCGAGCCTCTGCGCCGATTCTGAGGAGATTTGAGTGATAAACTAGGCGCAGATTCTACGTAGATTATTCTAAACCTCGGCTTAGATTCGGCGCAGATTCTGAGCAGAAATGTTATCAGGGACAGTCTCTGCCTGGTTGCGGGTCTCCACCCAAACAACAAAATCAAAGAAAAATGTAGTGGAGTTATCTCGGTGCTTCCAGGGAGACAAGAATCCGCCTGTCAGTTTGTGTGGTGGGTTTCGATTAGATTTCGGAAGTGGATTTCTTTATTGGCTTACAGATAGGTCCCTATCTCTGCCTTAACAATAGGTTTAATATGCATGAGACGTAAAATAGCCGCCAAAATACCAGGATTAAAAAACAAACGTTGCGATACGCACGAC